CTGCCCCGAGCTGCCCACGGGGATCTGGCTCTGCCTCTCCCGGGGTTGGTTCGGTGACATCCCAGGCGAGGGCAGCCAGGACAGTCTCACGCAGGGACACCTGGCCAGGTGTGCAGGCTCAGGGGATGCCCCAGCAGCGCTGCGGGGTCCCCGCGGCCCCGGCCGTGCCCGGCTGTCCCCGCTGCCCTCGGCCGCGGCGCTCGGCGGGGTCAGGCGGGGACAGCACGGCGACACTTTCGCCAGCGCCGCCGGGAGCAGGTTGGCGGGGCTGCTGCTGCGGCGCTGCGCTGCCTCTGGGCGAGCAGGCGGGATCTCGTCTGTGATCTCAGCGCTTTATCCCTTCCTTCCCTCGCCCCGGCCGCTGCTGCAGCCAGAGGAATCCCGGCATGGCTGTCACAGCTCTCCGCGCTGGCAGCGCCGAGCGTGTTTCATTCCTGCACCTCGCCGGTGCCAGAAGGAGCGGCCGGGGCTCTGCCCTGACACGATCGCACTCGCACACGGCTCTCGCAGCCCCCGGCAGCTGCCGCAGGCTCCAACCAGAGGGCTCTGCCCACCCCCGGGACACCGGGACCTGCAGGACAGCGGCTCCCTGCCCTCCTCCTGGATGGTGCCATCACCAGCCCTGCCCAGTGACCAAAATTCTGCTGTTCCATCTTCCCCAGCCCCTCCAAGCCCCCCTGCTCTCCCTCCTGCCCCTCCTCTGGGCCCTGCTTGGAGCATGGCAGGCGTGTGCCCTCCACGTTCTCCTCAGCCGCATTTCTCCTGCAGCATTTCTGAATTGTAAGAGACACTCGATTTTCTGGAAATTAAGTTGAGACAACAAAAAGCTCTGTTGCTCCCCAGAGCCGCCTGTGCCGTGGCCATGGACACGTTTGTGCTTTCACTCGGTGGTGGCAGAAACTCCCTGGGCTCGAATGGGAATTCCAAGGGACGAGCCGGGCTGGGCACACGTGTGGCAGCACCGGCTGCTGTCCCCTGTTGTCGCAGGTACCCGGGCAAGCCGCTCTGGGCAGCGCCTGTCCATGAGACACTGCCCAGAAGGGCTGCACAAAAGCTCCCAGCCACGGCATGAAGTAATTGTCACATTTTTCTTCTGTAAGGATTAACGTTCCTGCTAACCTTGCAAACGTCCATTGAGCCATTGTCACCCCCCGAAAGGCGGCACAATCGCCGAGGGATTAGGGTGTCTGCGGAGCAGCCTGTCCCCCTATTGTGCGCTCCCGGCGGGGCGAGGAAATCCGGCGACATCAGCCGATGTCCCAAATTCACTGCCGGCAGGGCACACGGCAGCCCCGGGGCCCGGCAGCCTGCAGTGGCACCTGGCACTGTCCCTGCACCTGGCACTGTCCCTGCACCTGGCACTGTCCCCGTGGTAACACCTGGCACTGTCCCTGCAGCAGTGGCACCTGGCACTGTCCCTGCACCTGGCACTGTCCCCGTGGTAACACCTGGCACTGTCCCTGCAGCAGTGGCACCTGGCACTGTCCCTGAGGTAGCACCTGGGGCTGTCCCTGCACCTGGGGGCTGTCCCTGCACCTGGCACTGTCCCTGCAGTGGCACCTGGCACTGTCCCTGAGGTAGCACCTGGCACTGTCCCTGCAGCAGTGGCACCTGGCACTGTCCCTGCAGTGGCACCTGGCCCTGTCCCTGCAATGGCACCTGTCACTGTCCCTGCAGTGGCATCTGGGGCTGTCCCTGCAGTGGCACCTGGCACTGTCCCTGCGGTAACACCTGGCCCTGTCCCTGCAATGGCACCTGACCCTGTCCCTGCAGTGGCACCTGGGGGCTGTCCCTGCACCTGGCACTGTCCCTGCACCTGGCACTGTCCCTGTGGTACCACCTGGCGCTGTCCCTGCAGTAGCACCTGGCACTGTCCCTGTGGTGGCACCTGGAACTGTCCCTGCAGTGGCACCTGGCGCTGTCCCTGCACCTGGCCCTGTCCCTGCAGGGGTGGGTGGCCGGGAACCTGGCCGGGCTGATGGCACCTCCAGCCCTGTCCCCTCCTGTAGGAAAGCCATTCTGTGCTGTTCTTGTGAGCCAGCAAAGGCTTCCTGATGGTAAGGAAAGCCCCATATCCCTCCTGAGGAGGACACCGAGGTTGTCACCACGGAGAGGTGATGAAGGAGAGCAAGTTAAGAGATACAGACTCCAGCTGGCTCACAGAATGACTCCTTGATCACCTACTGGCTCCTTGATCACCCACTGAGAACTTTCTTTCTTTCCTATAACCCATGGGCAGTGAATGTGTATGTGAAGTGAATGTAAATATCTCGAAAAAACATAAAAGCAACGTGTTGCTGTAATAAATCTCTCTTGCACCCTTCTGATGGGGTCGTGGTGCTTTGTGCTGTGTCATGCTCTACAATGACACCCTCCTGGTGCCCTGTCCCCTCCTGGTGCCCTGTCCCCTCCTGTGTCCTGTCCCCTCCTGTGTCCTGTCCCCTCTGGGCAGCAGGTTTTGCCAGTGACCGAGCTCTTGGGTGCTGGGGAAATCCCATAAAAATGTAACAGGAAATACAGAGCCATAAAGGGAATTTCCTGGCGTTTTTGTCAGCTGTGGGCAGTGCCTGCTGTGTGTGCTGTGCTCAGGCACCTGGCAGCCTCAGCAGGAACGAGCATTAGCAGCTCATTCCCAAGGCTCTCCCTTTGGAGCAGGAGCAGATGAGCATGGCAGCAGCACAGAGCCCAGACCTTCTGGGGAACAGGGCTCCAAATCCTGCAAAAAGCTCGGGCTTGCAGACAGGCAGGACAGGCAGAAGCTGTGTTGCAAGGATGCAAGAGGAAAAAAGGAATGCTAAAGCAAACCCAAGATTTATGTACGTGGGTCCCAGGAGGGTCCTACAGAGCTTATAAATGACAATACATATTGTGGTTCAACCCCCATGCTCAGTAGCAAAGGAAAAGGAGTGGGAAGTGTCTCCAGAGCTGGGGCCATTGCACAACAGCAGAGAATGGAAAACAAACTCATCTGCTTCTCCCCAGCATCAGCATCCCCACTCCCATGGAGCTTTCCCAAGAGACAGAGCCATCCCTTCCAGAGAGCCACAGGGACAGGAGAGTCCTGAGTGTGGTGCCCAGGGAGCAGAGCCTGGCATCCTCCTGTTGTGCCCAGTTTGGACTGCTCATCCAGAAAAACCCAACTCCATGCAGATAAGGACTCTTCCACCCAAGGCAGAGGGAAGTCTCCATGATGGATGTCTCTGAGTCCTGCAGGTGCTCATTTCTGGAAAAGAGCTGGCTCCTGGGGAGGCTGGGCTGGGGCTGCTCTGCTGCAGATCTGCACCAAGAGGATCTGTGGTGGCAGATGTGGCATCTGGATGCCTCCTCCCAGCAGGATCTGCATTTGCCAGCCCTTTGGCAGGGCACTCCGTGTTTAGGAGCCAGGATTGTTACTGCTGTGCACTGGGATTTCATGGCAGTTTTTCACAAGCTTTGCACGTGTTTGATAGTACAAATAGGAACTGAATCTCCCCACAAGTGACAGCAGCCTGGCTGCCTGGGGCCCGCTGGGGCTTGAGAGGAAAGCTGTCCATTCACAGTCAGAAACTGTCTTCACTGAGCACATGGGACAATTTGGCTTCTCTTCTCTGGCATCATGGCAGGGCAAGGGCTTCCCACTCTGCCTTGAGGATGTTACAGGTGGCTGTGCACAGAAAAAGAGCCAGACAGCAACCTGCAGCTCCTCTGCTAAATCCTGCAGTGGGAGCTTTCCCTGGACACGTCTGCTGAAGGAATAAATGGGGTTTGCATTTTGATCTCTTTTGCTTCATCTGGAGTAGCTTTGAGAAACAAGTCCTGCAGTCAGGCTGGCTCTCCTTGGTCTCATCTCCTGAGGCTGAAATGAGTCCCCATGGACAAAGAAGGCACTCAGAGTCACCCTGTGCTTCTGTGGGGCTTCTTCTCATTGAATCCTCCTCAGACCACACCTTCTGTTCCATCAGGGTGTCCATTTCCAAAAAGCAGGTGGTGACTGTGGTGACCAGGATCCATCCCAAGACATCTGGAGGGAGGCTGATCTTCAGAAAGCAGCAGCAGATGGGCTTGGTGCCTGTTGAAAATTAGGCTCTGACTGTATGCACTGTCCTCAAAACACAAGCAGCTGCAAAATCCTTGGTCTTCCAAAGGTAGGAGGTGATGATGCCTCCACTCTGCTGGCCTGGCTTGTTCTGCCAGGCACACACAGTGGCTGCAGTGAAACTGGGGAAGTTCCAATGATTTCATTTTTCACCAGCAAACGTCAGGAGGTCTGGGATGGGTGTCCCACCCTGGGAGCAAATTTGACTGATGCCAGGGCAGCCACCATGGTGGCAGTCCGAGCTCCCCTGGCTCAGTGTGACCCATGGCTATTGGCTATTCCGGAGATGGTTTCCATGAGGACTTTTATTTATTTTTATTTTTTTGGTAAAAATGTTGAACAATTCTGGTTTCGTCCCCATGTGGAGCGGGAAAAATTTTGAAATCCTGAACATTTTTGAGGGCTTAAAAACAATTTCCCACCCAGTTATAGCCACCAGTCTCATCAGGATGTGTTTGAAAAGCCTCCAGCAGGAGCTGAGCAGAGCTGGTCTCAGCTGGATACCACTCTCAACGAGAAATGCCGTGGCAAAGGGTCATGTTTCTTCAGAAAAAAAGTATCTTCAATAGCTCAGGAAGTTATTAGTGTCTGCTAACAATAAGAGCTTTGGATTGATTCAATAGATGCTCATTTTAATTGTAAAATGCCAGTAATGAGAAATGTGCCATCCAATGACTCATTTTTCCCTTGTAAAAATTATTGGACATTTTTATTAGTTTTACAAATGACAGGACCTCGTATTTCTGAGAACACTTTATACAAGCCTTGCACAAGCCCACTCTCATAAAAGCGTGTCTGTGGTGACATCCAGAGCCACAAGAAGGGGAGCGGTAGAAAGGCCCAAAGTGGTGAGGACAGCCCACAAGTGGAACTGGCAGGACCGAACCCCAAGAGGGTGGGAAGGGGTGGATACAGCACCGGAGACATGAGCCCCGGCACTCCTTCCCAGCAGTGCCTTTCTGGAGAGGCACGGGGCAGGCAGGGGGATGGCTGCCCGCCGGCGCCCGCAGCTCTGCCCGCCACGGAGCCCCGGCTGCTCGGGGCAGCCGCCGCGGCGCTGAGCGGAGCCTGGGCGGGCGATGTGCGGGGCGCAGGGAGGGCAGGAGCCAGCCCCGGCCGAGCAGAGCTGAGCCAGGTAAGCGCCGTGCCACGGCAGCGGGCAGGGCGGCAGCACGGAGCCCGCCCTGCGCTGCCGCGGAGCCGCTCGCCCCGCGCCCCCGGTGCGATCCATGCCGGGGTTATCCGTGCTCCCGGTGTGATCCATGCCGGGGTTATCCGTGCTCCCGGTGCGATCCATGCCGGGGTTATCCGTGTCACCGGTGTGATCCATGCCGGGGTTATCCGTGCTCCCGGTGTGATCCATGCCGGGGTTATCGGTGTCACCGGTGCGATCCATGCCGGGGTTATCGGTGTCACCGGTGCGATTTATCCGCTGTGCCCCCGGTGCGACCATGCCGGGGTTATCGGTGTCCCCGGTGCGATTTATCCGCTGTGCTCCCGGTGCGAGCACGCCGGGGTTATCGGTGCTCCCGGTGTGATCTATTCCGGGGTTATCTGTGTCCCCGGTGCGATCCATGCCGGGGTTATCTGTGCTCCCGGTGCGATCTATCCCGATGTTATCGATGCTCCCCGGTGCGATCTATGCTGGGGTTATCTGTGTCCCCGGTGCGATTTATCTGCTGTGCTCCCGGTGCGATCCGTGCCGGGGTTATCGGTGCCCCCGGTGCGACCCTGCCGGGGTTATCCGTGCTCCCGGTATGATCTATTCCGGTGTTATCCGTGCTCCCGGTGCGACCATGCCGGGGTTATCGGTGTCCCCGGTGCGACCCTGCCGGGGTTATCCGTGCTCCCAGTGCGACCATGCCGGGGTTATCTGTGCTCCCGGTATGATCTATTCCGGTGTTATCGGTGTCCCCGGTGCGACCATGCCGGGGTTATCGGTGCCCCCGGTGCGACCATGCCGGGGTTATCCGTGCTCCCGGTATGATCTATTCCGGTGTTATCGGTGTCCCCGGTGCGACCATGCCGGGGTTATCGGTGCCCCCGGTGCGACCATGCCGGGGTTATCTGTGCTCCCGGTGCGATTTATCCGCTGTGCTCCCGGTGTGATCTATCCCGATGTTATCGGTGCTCCCGGTGGGTTCTATCTGCTGTGCCCCCGGTGCGACCGTCCTGGTGTTATCCGTGCTCCCGGTGCGATCTGTCGTGGTGTTATCGGTGCCCCCGGTGCGATCTGCCATCTATGCCGGGGTTATCGGTGCTCCCGGTGCGATCATCCCGGGGTTATCGGTGCCCCCGGTACGATCCATGCCGCCGTTATCTGCGGTCCCCGGTGCGATCCATCCCGCCGTTATCCGTGCTCCCGGTGCGATCATCCCGGTGCTATCGGTGCTCGGACAGCCGGGCCCCGGGCAGCACCGGGCTCGGCTGCCCTGGGTTTGCGAGGAACACGATAAAGGGTCAAGCACGGCCAGGGAGCCGGGGGCAGGGACATCCCGCAGCAGCCCGGAGCAGGAGCTGCAGGAGCTGCAGGAGCTGCGGGAGCTGCGGGACTGCGGCTGGACGGGCAGGAGGGGAGCGCCGGCATCACGTTCCTCCTGCTCCGGAGAACAGCGGAGCTGCTTTGGCCAGTCTGTGTTCTTAAAAAAAAAAAATCCAAACGATTTCCCTTGGAGAATTGATTTGCACAAGTGGGGGAAAAAAGTAGTTTTAGAGAATTTGTCATTTCAGCGTTTCATTTCTCCTGCCTTGCTGACATTATTTGTATTTTTGTTTACGTCTCCTCGTGAGAAGTCATCTGTGACTCTGCAAAGTGTACTGCGAGCTGGCATGATATGACATAATGCAAGAGCTGAGATAGCCCAACACTTCTATTTTAAACTTTATGTTATCCAGGAAATTTCTGAAATATTTGTCTTCATTCCAAGCCAGAATGAAAACAATTTTTGAGACGTCGGAAGTTCCCGTGGAACAAGTAGCGAGAGCTTCCAGCTCTGCCACCGTGCATGGCAGGGCAGGCAGAGGGGAGGCCCCAGCCCTTGGCAGTGGGCACTGGAGAGCAGGGAATGGCTTTGTGTGTCCCAGCACATCCCAGGAGGGATCTCTGGTGGCTTTACAAACCCTCCCTGCTTTGAGGGGCTCCAGCCTAGACAGGGAGAGGCTCGGCGGGGCTGCAGGCAGGAGCCACGGCCCCAAAGCTGAGCTTGGCAAGGCTGAGCTGCTGTGGGATAGGCTGGGCTCTGCAAGGCTGCAGGCAGGAGCCACAGCCCCAAAGCTGAGCTTGGCAAGGCTGAGCTGCTGTGGGATAGGCTGGGCTCTGCAAGGCTGCAGGCAGGAGCCACCGGCCCCAAAGCTGAGCTTGGCAAGGCTGAGCTGCTGTGGGATAGGCTGGGCTCTGCAAGGCTGCAGGCAGGAGCCACTGGCCCCAAAGCTGAGCCTGCTAAGGCTGGGCTTGGCGGGACTGCAGGCATGAACCACCAGCCCCAAAGCTGAGCTTGGCAAGGCCGAGCTGCTGTGGGATAGGCTGGGCTCTGCAAGGCTGCAGGCAGGAGCCACCGGCCCCAAAGCTGAGCTTGGCAAGGCCGAGCTGCTGTGGGATAGGCTGGGCTCTGCAGAGCTGCAGGAGGCCAGGGTCCACACTCTCCATGTCTGGCTGGAAAGCCCTATCAGGTTCCCAAAATCTCTGCCTTTTCCTCTGTGCTGAGACACTCAACGCTCAGCGCTTTGTTTTGTGTACTCTGGGAGCTGACAATTTGTAAAGACACGCTGCTGGGCTAATCCCCCATCAGCTCCTGGAGCGGGGAGCAGCTGCAGCTGGCAGCTCTCTCCCTTCTCCCACTCCAGCCCGCTGCAGTAGCGAGTGCCTGCAGCCGGGAGCTCGCAGGTTTTGACTTAAACGCAAAACAGAGCCGGGACCACACAGGCACCTTGTGCTCGGCCAGCCGGGCACCGCCAGGTGGCCACGCCGGCCGTGCCAGCCAGCCCTGAGTGCCACAGGGGTCCCAGTCCTGGTGCTGAGCTCAGCCCGGCTCCCCTGAGTGCCACAGGGGTCCCAGCCCTGGTGCTGAGCTCAGCCTGGCTCCCCTGAGTGCCACAGGGGTCCCAGCCCTGGTGCTGAGCTCAGCCCGGCTCCCCTGAGTGCCACAGGGGTCCCAGTCCTGATTCCCTGAGCTCAGCCCTGCCCTGTGCCCTGGGAATCTCTCAGGGAAGGGAGCTCGCTCTTTCCACAGCCTGGTTTGCTGTTGATGCACTGAGCGAGCTGAGGGGTCAGGGAAGTGATAAAACTGAGATTCTGAAAAAGAATCCTCCTTGTGTGGCCACCATGTCACAAAGAGGCAAAGGGCCAAGGGTTCCTTGTTGCCCAATGCTCAGAGCTCACCCACAGCCCAGGGAGTTCTGTGTTTGGGGGAGCTGGGTGTCCATCAGACATCCCTGGACATCCCCATCACAAAGAGGCAAAGGGCCATGGTGGTGGGGAAGATGAAACAGGAAAGCCTCATAAATAGGATTGCCTGGCAAAAGATTTTGAGAATATGGAAACTCTAAGCGAGATTGAAATGAAAGCAAGCTTTGAGATCCCTCAGTTACTGAACTGGCAAACAATGGCATGGCCAGCTGAAGGTGATCCCCTTTTGATCAAACAATCCCCTCTGTTTGCAGACAGGCCCAAGGCTCAGAGCAGACCCTGCCAGCTTGGCAGAAGGGGCCCAAAGAGGAGTTTTTAGGGTTTCAAATGTAACCCAGTGTGGTAATGAAATGATTCTTATAGGCTGTATGGAAATGCTGTAGGATTTGTATCTTGGACTAGATTGGTTAGTGAGAATCAGAATATTCAGCACAGAAGAAGATTGATGGTATTGGAACGGGAACCTCGGTCTGTTACCCTCTTACTCTCTTACCCTCTCATCCTCCCCCTCTCATCCTCTCTCCCCCTCTCTTCTCTCAGGCCTGCTCTGAGCTGTGGCTGGCAGCTCCCAGCAGGGCCCTGCACCCAGGCCCTTTGCAATAAACCCCAAGTTCCAGCCCTGGCTGCAGAGATCTCTGCTCTCCATCCATCCTTACCATCCTACCTCCATCACTCCTACACCAAGGGTCCCTTGTTGCCCAATGCACTCACCCACCCACAGCTCGGTGGGGTTCTGTGTTTGGGGGGCCCTGGGAAACTGTGGGAGCTGAGTGTCCATCAGGGAAGGCACCAGGACCATTGCCTGGCATGTGCAAGGCCTCACATCTCAGCAAAACTCATTTTTAAGCTGCCTGGGGTCTGCCAGAGCAAATGAGTTGCAGTTTCAGCAGCCACTTGCTCCTGGTTTAACCCTGGGAAAGCAACTGTGTTACAAATATTTACCTGATGAGGTAAAGCATCAATATCCTTGAAGCTTACATTAAAAAATACTGGACTAGAGCATCTTGTGGGTTTTGCTTTTTTCCCCTGCTGATTTGTTTCACAATATGCCAGAAGCATGGCTTGAGTTAGGGCTTTGGCAGGGGCTTTTATCATGATTGATATAGTGGAGGATAGAAAAGAAATTTGGTTATCAGAGGATGCCAGAACTCAACTTCCTAGCACATACATTCAATAATGCAAAAATTCTCCTTTAAAGGTCTCCTTAGAACAAATCCCAGTCATCACAAAACCCATGGAGATAAATTAAATTACATTTTAATAGTGGAGAATTCATTCCCGGGCCAGGCGCAGCAGTGAAAGTATGTTCTCTCTTAGGCAAAAGCAGCCTCATCTCCCACCAAAATTCTGAATGTTACCAGATGAAAAACTTAATTGGAAATGAAACCCAGGGCAGAGGCACCATGAGAGACTGCCCCACCTCCTGCTCCCCTGCCCCACAGCTGCCCTGGCTCTGTTCTTGCTTGTCCTGCCCTGTTCTGGGATTGCTGTGACTCCTGAAAAAGCCAGGCTTGACCCATCTCTCCCTCATGCTGTTGTTCTGTAGATATTTAAACTACATCTCTCCCTCATGCTTTTGTCCTGTAGGTATTTAAACTACATCTCTCCCTTGTGCTGTTGCCTTGTAGATATTTAGAATACGTCTCTCCTTCATGCTGTTGTCCTGTAGGAATTTAAAATACATCTGTCCCTCATGCTGTTGTCCTGTAGATATTTCAAATACATCTCTC